GAATGGTGCGCCATCTCGTTAGAATATAAAGTGGGGACTATTATATCAAGGCGCATGTACCTCTTTGATTCAAAATTCATTGTAACAGCAGCGTATACAAAATAGACTTCTGTTTTTTCTAAAATTGATAGTGCTACTGAAACGATCACTGACTCAGAAACGACTATTTGAACCAAATAAATCCAGCATCTCTTTCGAGCATCAGAGTAATCCTAATTTTTGGGGTGTTATAGTAATGCAAACCTTTTTTATCTAACATTTCAGTACCTAATCTGCTTCTGAACCTTAGCCTGCTTTTTTTGAATGTTTCATTCCTTAACCTTACATCTGCAGATATGCTGTAATAAGGTACTTCCCGATCAATGTGGATTTATCCATGTTCCCGAAGCAATAGGTTTAAAAGCTTTGTTCTCTACTGAATTGGCAAATACCATATACTTTTCACTCAACTCGATCTACCAGATAAGTGACGTAAATGAAGATGATGATGTTATCATTTAAGTCAATTAGGATGCAGGAGAAAGAACCCATTCTATAAATGAATAATAACCAACCATTATAATTTACATTTATTTTTTTAAGTTATTTTTATATTGTCCCATTTAAAAAATATATTGTGTAATTTCTAAAAAAAAAAATAACCAACCTTTAGATACTATATGCGGTGTTATATCACAAATTGTAGTGTAATGGAAAGGAAAATTACTATACTTCAAATAGGTTATCATACGTAAAATCAGAGAAACGATAATTTGGACTTGGTTTTAATATAATCCAAAATTTTGGCCTTCATTTGAAGAATCTTAGGATTACTACCACCTGAAATAAAGTACTGCGGATCAAATTGAAGCTTATACGGTCTTAACCTATGTGCAAAGTGCCTAGTTTTCTCTCGACTATAACTGTTAGAAAGAGGTAACTGTAATATGAAAAACAGACACTAAATATTCTCATCATTATTCTATCCCCAAAGATTAATCCAGAGCGAGCGTTGAAAAATGAGAAAAAATAACGTAACAATTGATATACACGACCGTATTAGGTGGTGTTGATGCTATAGGTCATCAATAACATAAACTTCACCCATTAACACCAATTCTCCTTTTGTTTTATAAGAAGTGTTGAACGCTGTAATATGTTTTGTCATTCTAGATGCCTTCTTTCACTATGCGGATGTATGCCATACTGACCACAAATTTAAACATTTTTCTTGAAAACAGTCGAAAGTAGTTGGATAAGAACCATTTTTTAGTTAGGTACCTAACACTGTTCTCTTTAATTCAAGTCTTTGTTTTTAACTCTAATTTCCGTGAACTGAACTGAGTTAGATGGCATCTACTGCCCTTGCTGACCATCCACTTTCGACACATTTCTCGATCAGGGTCGCCAATACATCAGTGAATATATACAATTAATGAACCAGAAAAATTCAACAAGAAGGCCAATCCAGTTCGAGTAAAATATATTCAAGCTATGGAACATTGTCACACTTATGTAGACCCCGGATCAAGGTAAGTCGATTGTGTGTATTTGTGTCAATTCGCGTAGTAACCCAATGACCTACACGTAAAATTAAAAAAAAATCTATTATTGTTATTATTGTTGTCATTTTACTCTGTATCCTGTAAATGTGTTGTCACAAAGCTGCACTTTTTTATACTGTAGGTCAATACTCCAATTTATATTAAAAGCATTAAACTAGATGTAAGTGGTTATCTGTTACAAGGATACTTAAGGTGCATACTTTACCTCGCCACTGTTTCACTTATTCTTCAGAAGTCAAGTAAACAAAATGTGCCAATTGAGAAAACTGCTGCTCGTCATTATTTTCGTTCAAATGGTGGTCACGTCCACGGGTAAGTTCAATCTTTTTTTTCTGCTTTGATGGTGTGGTACCTAGTGTTTATTCAGTCGTTCATTTTTCTATTTCAGAACAAACCAGCAGAGTAGTGCAGTTTCAGTCACCCTTAGTTGTGGATTATAAGTACATAATTGAGGCTATACAGTCTCAGAAAAAAGCTTGGTGGAAAAGAGGAACGCAACTCCACCAGCAAATTGGAGAGCTCGTATTCGCGTGAAATTAATTTACTCTTATCTTATGTGATTATTTTATTAATTTATTTTATATAAAGCCTTTCTTATGCTGTCATTATTTAACGTTGCCAAAATTACTTGATGCGCACCCAGTTTCTAAAAATTGAAATCTTGTTATATATGAATCTTCGCCCAAATCTCTTCTTGTAAAATTCAGTTGCAGTTAGTTTCCGTAATTTTTTTTTAATTAAGCGGTATACCAAAAAGACAGCCATGTACGATCTTCTATGAAGAAAGTAACCACCACAACGTTGGTCCATTTAGGTGCTTAAAGAGCCAATTTTAACTAAAACAATTCCATTTTTGGGCGTTTAAACATTGAAAACTGAATGAGTGATGAAGTGGCGAAGTGTAAGATCTAATCTTCAACCTATACTACCATATCAGTATATGTGCCAAGATATAATAAAAGAACCAGTTTTTTCCAACGCCTTAACCAAATTATATCTATACATGGATCCAAATATCTTTTTTCGAGTTGTCTGCCAGATGGCAGGTTCTTAGGTGACCTGCCTCCTATACAACTCCCGATCCATTGCCTCTCTCTGCAACCCCACATAGCCCTATTACTTTCTTCCAATCCAATTTTCTCTTCCATCCACCTCCTGTCTTCACCGATCCTTCCAATACGTCTCTTATCATTCCCTTTCTCCTCAACATACGTCCACACTCATTTTCTCTTTCTTAAAAGTTGTCTTACTTTTGCTGATCTTCTTAATACTTCCTCATTTCTCACGTTATATCACGCCACTTTCCTGTTAACAACCTCCTCTAAGTCCACATCTCGAATGCTTCCAGTCTTTCGAATTCTCTTTTATTTAATGTCCATACCTCACACCCATACAACAGAACACTCCAAATTAAACGTTTCACCAGCTTTTTTCTCAATTCTAAATCCATCTGCTCTTTCTTTGTCGTATATACGTTGTCTTGATAATTCCAATTTTTATCACTATTTCCTTTGCACGCAACCAATCGTCTGCTATTGCCTACGTATTTACTAGTTTTTACTTGTTCCAATTTCTCCCTTTGCCCTTACGTCCATTTCTCCCTCATTATGTAGTTAATTCTCAATCGATAGGTGCGTGCGTCTTCCATTTCGTTCAAGTAGGGGTCCGAACAGGAACCGATAAGAACCGATACCGGATCCAGAACCGATTGGATTTATAAGCCCCTCCGGTGCCTTACCGGTGTGTAAACTATGCCATGTCGCGATTCGGGTAACATTGTTTAGTATTAAGATTAAGTTGGTAAGTAGATGTGGTAACACTGCATTAATCAAAATTCTCCTTTTTTTAGTGTAAAATTGTGCCTGGTAAGCCGTATTGTAGCGATGAGGAGTTTTTATAACGGAGTAGTAGTAAAGGACAATCTGATTTTTTTAAATACAATAAAATTATTAATTAATTTATATCGATCTTTAAAAATAGATTGATTTATAACACTTAATCATTATTGATACTCAAATTTATAACATGCACATTTATTGCACGAGCGCAAATATCACTATTTATCACTTCGACATCAATATTGGAACATCTGTTAAACACAATTCAATTTGCTTTACTACAAATGAAAATCATCTAGAGTATTCTAGAGTCCGCATACCATAGTTCCTCGAAAGAATGAGTCACACCCCCTTTCATTCCTTTTCGCCGGTGCCGAATTATCGTTCATCGACTTGATGGCGCATTGATATCGCTCTAGAAAATTCGCTAATATAAAATAAAAGAAAAAACATGTAGTTTATTTTATTGGGCAAGAATAAAATCTTGCCTTGTGAATTACGTTCAGAGTTGAAAAATTAGCAACAAACTTCAAAGGTCAAAAATCAAAATTCTCACTTTTATTCGCAGCTGCCACACTAATCTGAATACTAAACAAAATATTTTAGAATGACAATCCTGAAAATGATTCAAAAATAGCAAGAGAGTTGACGAATATGTGAAGAAAGCAATAGTTGAAACTATACAGTTCTGAAGAGAAGGAAAGTAGAATAAGACAGGCAGTTGACAAAGGTAAAACGAACACGCAAAGTAAAAAAGTTTCAATTAAACCTAAAAAAAATATATTTATGCAAAATAATATACTTTATTTTTGTATTTTCTTATAATTAATAATAATAATAATAATAATTTATATTTTTTTCATAAAACTTAATTTATTAACTGAAACCGGAACCAAAAATTATTGAACCCGTAGAACCGGAACCGGTACCGGACCCTCCAACTGCCGCGTCTTTGAACCCATGAGTAAAAGTCCCACTATCTGGGCATGGGAAAAATGTATAACGATAGAAATTGCCAGACAGTCAACGTGAGGAATACATCTGCAACCTGAAGCAGCTGGAAATTAAAAACAATGCTAATTTGTGGTGGATTTCAGGGCATTCGGATATTGCAGAACTGGCAAGATTAGAGGTCCAGAGCCTTTATTGTGTCATGCAGATACAAGGATTTGTAGCCAACGACAGACTAACCCATTTATCAAGGCCCTGTCGCAAAAAGGCAAGGAGGTCACAGGTTTCAGCAATGGATCTTTGGACTCTTGCAGGGTTGCTTAGCCTTACATGTCATCTTCTGCTATCTAGACCAGCTGGCTATAATTAAGGATGCTACATGTCGATTCTGCAGACAAGCAGTTGAAACGATAGATATCCTAAGTGACTGTGAAGCTGACCCTAGGATATAAATACATAAATAGGGAAAAAGGGAAAGGGAAAAGTTTGTTAAGTTCTTCAATGATTTAAACCTGCTCTAGAAACCAGTCATAGAAGCCACAAAAATTCTAAAGGGGTTAGATCTTATCCCTGGGGAATTAATTTTACGAGGCTGACCGACTTAATTCGAATACACTCGGTTTTGTAAACGCCCTTATATTTCGTTACACTTTGTATATCTGTCATTTTTCGCTCCATAACCTCAAATTATTCTTGCTTATTTGTAACGTTTTATTTGCATTTTTAATTGAAATGAACGACAAATTAGAAGAAAAGCAGACAAAAAACAAATTAGCAGTGTTCGAGCACATACCTTGCAAAGAGAAAAAGAATAATAATAAAAATAAAAGAGGGTATAAACGGGCATTGTCACCATCTTCCGATAGTGGTTTGGTGATCGATGATGAAGACTCGCAGGTACGTTTAATATCATATTACTCGACGATAGGTAATTAATGCTTTTAGCACCCCACTAAGAAACGTGTTCAAGGTGTTCGATTAGTAAAAGAACCACTCTCCTTGGAGTGTGGCTGGAATTCCTGTGAAGAAGTTTTCGACAGCTACAGAAAATACAATTACCATGTTAAAGAACATGCAGAAAATGATTGTGGTATGTTACCTACCGTACTAATTTATGTTTGCTGTACATTTTGTTACAGCCGAAGGTGATGAGATGATGTGCAAATGGCGTGATTGTACCACGATTATTTCTGAGAAGAGCCTTCTTTCTCAGCATGTTAGCTACCATGGGTATCATACGAAGTTAAAGAACATAGGAAAGAATGTGTTAGGTCGACGTGATTTGCCCGATTGTACTCGTGAGGTAGAAGAGGCCTTTCCTTTGTACATAAATGGCTATTCGTGCGACTGGAAAGAGTGTGGCGGTTTGTTTGAAGATGTATACGAATTTCATGAGCACATTAAACTGCACATTAACAGCAACCCGAAGTATTGCAAAAAGGATGAAATTATTGAATGTTTATGGCAAGGTGAGTTGTAAGTGAGTAAGGTATTGGAAAATACGCCAGTAGGTTGCAGTTACAAATGCTCTTCTCAGTACAAGTTGTCCGACCATCTAAAAATGCACACAAAGGAGAAGGTAGTGGCTTGTCCCACCTGTGGGGCTCATTTTGCAGGTAAAACAAAATTTTACGATCACAGAAAGCGCCAACTGCCACCGGAAGGTGAAGATTTGTTCTGCTAGCTTTTCCTTAGTACATGTAGCCATTCCAGTTCAGAACTATCAGTGCTCGCAGTGCTCCAAGTTTTTTCCTAGCGAACGTCTTCTCAGGGACCACATGAGGACTCATATAAATCACTATAAATGCACAATGTGTGACATGACTTGTCCGAAACCGTCTGCATTAGCTATTCATTTTAGATACCGACATTTAAATGAGCGACCATTGCAGTGTCATCTCTGTAGTTATATGTAAGAGCGAGCGCTCACTTCTGATTTAAATTGTGATCTTTGCTTTTTTAGGGCTGTAACTAAGCAGGCTCTGGATGCGCATCTTATAACACATTGTACGGAGAGCTTGCTTGCTTGTGAAGATTGCGATTATCGGTGCCGGTCATTTTATGGTTTAGATAAACATTATCAAAAAGTTCATGGATTGGTAAGTTCTTCTCTAATTTAGAATTGAAAGAGAAATGAAAATCTAATGCAGTTTGGAATCCATTCTTGGTCTTGGTCACCCCTTCCCTCTCCCATTAATTAGATTGTTTCAAAATTTTGGGTTCATTGTCTTGATCAGCAAAGCTCATCTGATTTTATTTTCAACTTCAGGATTTGATGCAAACCTATGAATGTCATTGTTGCCAAGCTAAATTTCAACGTGGCAACTACTTGACTAGGCATTTGATAAAAGCTCATGATTTCCATTGGCCGTCTGGACATTCTCGGTTCAGGTAAGTTTTGAATGGTTCAGTAGGCAGCCAAGAGTCTGTTTAATGCATCTACTTGTCTCAAACTCAAGTGTACATATTTTTTGCACTGACAGTATCTACGTCCATTAAGTGAACGTATTATTTATGGGATAGGTACAAAGAAGATGCGGATGGAATATTTCGCCTACAAACTGTCAGGTATGAAAGCATCGAAGTTACTCAGGAGATGATGAGCTCAACTAACACCACCAGTCAGCCAGTAGAAGTGCAAACGAATAAAAGATACAACTTGAGAAAAAAACAGCAATCATCAGATAAAACGCCCAACTACGTTCTGATGGTGGCCGAAAATGGCGAACAAAACGTCGTGTGTCCGACTAAGAACAACATTGTGATGACTATTAACGACATTGACGAAAGTGGGAATATTTTAAACTCGGAAATTTTGCAGTCGCAAGAAATGCAGATTGTACCAAACACAAAAGGCGAATAAGCATTGTTAAATTCTATATTTGTATACTATAATATTTACAATAACACATTGATATTTATTTTATTTTTTATTGCATTACATTACCTTTCTTTTCAACTTCACCTCCACTTCCTTAAGGCTGGGATTGCCTGAAAAGAGAAGTACCCATAGTAAAGGACAAAGTTTTTTTCGTTAGAATGTGCTGGTACCTAATAATGAATAGCGTAACTACAGCAGTTTTCTATACAAATATTTAAATCATTATACTCTCTTTAAGTGGGCCCCAAACAACACAGAGGGAGCTTTAAAAAAATGCAATTTGATTTGCATAACCACACGACAAGAAAATACAAAACACAAACGCAAGGTCGTTCACGGCTCCTTACAGACTGCTAGGTTAACAAAATTATAATTAGCGCTCTACCACACATAACTTGAGGAGAATAATGAACCGCTTGTAACGTATGAAGTAAAAATCGCGTAATTATTGGCATGGGGGACTTTCAAAATTAAGATCGTAAAATTGGTTCACAAGTGGCGACAGGGGCTTTTTGTTTGGAAGGGCCTTCAGTAAAACTCTTGATTCCGACATTTTAAAGAAAACACCTTTGGAAATTCAATTCTTTTTCATTGTTACCATTGAATAAAGAGGTTTTTATTCAATGCCATTACGAAGTGTGTTATACCATTGAATAATAAAATTATTCAATGGTTATACTTATAAAACGATCCTAGTGCCTATTCAAATAACAGGTAACGAAGACTTTGTAACTAACGAAGTGTTATTACAGTAGAGACGCGTTTTGACTTTTAGGACTTGGAAAAAGTTCAACCATATTTTCGTTTTTTTTGTATTTTTCTCTGAAACGGTAGGGAAATTTCGAATTAGAACAAGCAAAAGCTTTTATGGAGAATGTATTTTTGTCAAAAAGTATAGTAAAAGTTTTTCTTCTTGTAAAGGTCAATCCGGGGACATACGGTATATCTACCGATTTTTTTTAATTTTTTAGCCGTTTATACCTAAATATACATTTGTTCCCCATGTCTTACATTCGAGGGATGGTCTTTTGTAAATTAGTAATATACAGGCTGATTCAAATTCGAGGGCCACCATGGCAGTGCCGTATTTATATAAGGGGCAAACGTGGGCAATTGCCCACAGCGGCAAAATTGTAAGGGCGGCAAATTTGGAGAAAAACAAAAAATAAAATGCGTTCAAATTTTTTAGGTAAACGGTGAATCGGTAAATGAAATGAAGCAAAAATAAAATCTGTTAGTACATTCATTGCATTGCAAATATAGCCAATGAATGCCTTACTTTTCCCACCTTGTAATAATGGTGATATAGTGATATGTCAAGGGCGGCAAAAAATGTTTGCCCACAGCGGCAGAAACCCTAAATCCGGCACTGCACCATGGGCATCTCGGGAACTGTAAGAGATAGGTAGGTGGTAAATTTGGCAAAGTTGTGTATTTTGATGCTTAACAAAAACAGTTTTGAAACTGAAAATTCTGACTACTACTTTCGGAGATATCCGGAAAAAACGAGATTTTGAAAATCGTTTTTGTTTTTTACTGAAGTTAATAGTTGTTTACAAAGATATTTAATAATAAATGACACATTATTATGGCCACTTTTTTCCCTCTACAAGATGCTACTTTTAAATTTGAAGTTTGACGTTTCGTCTCCGGTTAACTATCATCAACTTTGTTTCTTATGGAAGTAATTTTTACTTTTTGTGTCATTTGATAGAGAATTTTTTTCTGATTTCAAAAATGTACACATCAATTTTTTTAATGCTTGTAAAATATCTTTTTTGCCTTTGTCTTAAGTAACGTACGTAAGTAGTTTCTTGTGTTTTTACAAATTAACGTTATTTCTTATTAAAAATAGATGATGTTACCATCAAGGGTAACTTTGTCAAATGTAAACTACCTATCTCTTACAGTTCCCGAGATCCCCATGGTGGCCTTTGAATTTGAATCACCCTGTATAGGTCAATTATTACACATTACACTAAACTGACTAAACTAATACTAATATCATTGAATAATAAATCAGATTTATTATTCAATGCTAATATGTAATAGGTACTATCATTGAATAAAGAGCTTTATTCAATGGAACTATTGAAGTTCAAAAAATTTAATTTGCAACAAGGTATGGATTATAAATTACGGTATTTTAATCTGCAATCAGCAAAGATAAAGAATAGGGAAGACGGTCAAACAAATCGCATTACAAATAAACACCCACACAAGGTCGCATCTTGCCAGACATCAACAACAATATACAACAGCCCTTTGTTCTAAAAATTACGTATAATTTTGATATTTGTTGTAAAGGAATGTTACCTATCCCCATTTCTATTATTTATTTCATAAAACGATAGGTAGAGGAGGTACCTTTTACAATGAATAGGAAAGAGAAACCAAATAAATTTCGAAGCAAGTAGTTGACAAAATAATAATATACCAGTGAACGATCTTTTTCTTGCTGTCAGCAAATTCTATTACACTCACGCTCTGTTCAACCTTGAAAGAGAATCGCTAAATGATTTAGCATAGGCAACTTACATAGCCTGCTAGTTTTTTTTGCTCTTAAATTTTTGGTCTTTTATTATCCCCATTACACAGTACTAGTACTAGCCTAGTTAAAAAGTAAGAACAACTCCATCGCAAGATAAAAGCGCTTACCTATTTCATATCTTTATCGTATTTTTTACTGACTTCCTAAAACTCTTGGTGGCACCCTCTGTGAGAAAGAAGCTACACTGTTGACCGCGATATTAGTCACAGCTGCGTAGTTTATTTCCATTTCTCCAGTTTACATGCCCATTTTTCAGAACTTCATTCACCACTTTTTTTATGAAAACTTTTGAGCTTCACATGAATTGCCAAAATATAGATAAGTATTCACGCTACCGATCCCATACACCCGTATTGCTTAAATTGCTCCCTAATTTTTGCAATTAATTCCTAAACTATGAACTCTTTTGACGCATGTTTTCTGGATTTTTTAAACATATATTAGTGGACAAAATATCAGTTTATATTGTATGGAAACTATGCTCTGTACATCTATCTACCTAATGCATATTTTTCCGATCATATACACCCCTTGCTTATGGAATGGTGAATGAAGTTCAGAGGCAATGCACGCCCCATTGAATTACATGTGCATCACTAGTTGCCTATACTCTCTAAATCCAAACCTTAACAAAATGACACCTGTATCTGTATTTTCTTATCTTGAAATTAAACAGCTTACGCCACGAGAACAAAAGTTATCTACGCGGAGATAAACTTTTACAATAACGATAATCTTAATCTTTTAACACGTAAATCAAACAAAATAACCAAAGCTATTATTTAAACAAAATTAGCAACAATAAACAATTCTGATACCTTGACCTCAATTTCAACTAAAATTATGTGTTGTCTCTTGCCTCAAATTAGAACCATTTTTACGCTTTAAAAATAATTGAAATTAAATGTACAGGGTGATCCATCGTTATTATAGGTGTTTAAGCCAAACGAAACGTTCGCATGGCATAGTTTACACAACAATATAAAAATAGGACATTTTTAAATACTCTGATGAGGTAAATTACGTGGGAATGCAGATTGAGTTGAATATATTGTTTTTATAAGCAGGTTGATACGAACATTTTATGAAAGTAACCGAGATACCCACCATCAATGTCAAGGAGAATGCAATTTGCAACTTTGAAAGAAATTTTTACAAAAGTGCACCGCATGCTCTTCTTCTGAAGTAAAAGAATTGAATAATAAACTGCAGTTTTCTACAACATTCTTATAAAGTTCAGTCTAGTGTCCGCCTTCTAACGTAAAGGAATTTAGTATAAAATCTGCAACCTCAAACACCATCGCCCTGCTTGTTGTGGTCAAGTAAACTCCTTCAGATGGACCAAGTTAGTACTTACCAGTTAGAAGGGATGCACGCAGGCAGGCAGAGTAACTGAAACTCTGGGTAAGTGTGTTTTACGTACGGGGCATTGTAATGGACTTGGATTTATTTTTTCGAATTTTAGAGATAGGCAAAGTTGGGATTTTTTGGATTTTTTTAAGGTTCGAACAGTTATTAGCCCTTACATATTGTAGAAAGTCTGCAGGTCAAAATTTTCCAATAAATTGGACGACGTGGAATTGTAAAAGTCTGAAAGTATTGGCGGAATTAGCGATCTTTTTTGTTCTGCTTATTTAAATTCAATAGAGTATTGTTTTCATAATATATTTTAATATTAATAGATCCCTTAAAACTGTATTATTAATTAAAAAAGTGCAAACCAATTTGCGTTTAAATTAAACGAAAGCGTTTGGATCGAGGGTGGAATGGTACATGATGATGGTACAATATTTGTTTCATACTTTACCAGACTCATTTGAGTCATGCGCCATACTTGACTTGTTTTTTGACAATATCGGTATTTATGATGATGGTGCAAGTGCTGGATAAAATGTTAAAAAATATGAAACTAAACCTATAAGTACTTTACATTTCATGTGTCTTCCTAAAACCAGATTGACAACCATGTTGCATCGAAATGACCATCAGGAAACGACTTGGATAGGTGCGAGTTATCCGGGTGCGTACTGTCTAAGTGCGAATGGTCCGATTGAAAACGGGTGCGAAATGTCTGTATTCTAATTTTTCGGATGCGAATTCCATTGTGATTTGTTTTTGGGAAGAATTTTGCTTAGGTACTGCAAATTTTCCATAGTGCGAACTGCCCTCGTTCAAATTATCCTACAACCATATTCAAGATTTCGTATAATTTTTGTATATAAGGATTCAATTGAATTTATTTATTTATCTATCCACCTGTAACGAGAGCATTTAGATCTAAATTTGTGAAATTTTTTCTCCAAAAAATAAGTAAGTATAAAGTAGATTTTTAAAACTGTAAAATCTGTCAATGTTTTGAAGGGTCTTCCCAAAGACATTGGGGTCTTTATTAATGTAAAAGAATTTATCTGGATAATTGCGATCAATCAAATATGTGTAATTTCTAACTAGTTACTTTCAATGGGGCTTTTGTTTATAGTGCAGTCAAATTAGCGCAATTTTGGACAAATAAAAACATTAATCGGTAAAGATCTGAATTTTGGTATACACATTTATTGGGACTTTCTATTGAACATACTAAAAGTCCCTGTCAAAATCTGCTGCGCTCGAGACGCCATCTTGGAAAAACGGTACACTTTTCCAGTTTTTTGCCCATGTCTCGGCAACTATTACTGATACGAAGAAATAGTTTACATGAAAAATATAGTTTACTAAATTCCCTATAAAAAAGAGTATTTATGACATAATGTTTCATGATACGACATCATGTTTTTTTTCAAAAAGGTAAGCGAAAATGATTAAAATTGTTGGGGCCACGAAATGATTTCTGAAGCTGGAGAACGCCGTTCTCTGCATACAACGTGCCTGCTAGTGAGAGATATTTAAACCGACATCGTTATCAGACCTGCAGAAAATACGCATACAAGGGTCAGCCGAATCTAACCGCACTGTTACCCCCTTCGGCTGCAGCGGCGCAGCAACACACGTTTCGTATTAATCAGCAAGTTCAGAAGGTTTGTGGATATGAAAAATCTCCCGAACTGTGGAGTTGAAGGAGAGTCCACGATTTCCTTGACCCTGTTCGGTCACTGAAGGCTTCCAGTCCACACTCAGTGCTTAACTGCTCACATTGAAGATGAAAGTTCTATTGAGAGAGAGAGAGAGAGAGAGAGAGAGTTTTATGAGAAACCTTTAAACGTGTCTCATACCAAGCTTGAGTGCGACGACTTCTCATATATAAGAAATACTGGCACAGTTTTCAATAAATTTAATGATTTGTAAAAAGTTGTAAAAAAATATCTGCGCGCCTGTTTCGAGAGCTCAGGATACTTGATTCCCTATTCGATGTCGGATTATAGCTAAAGTATTGGACATACAAAAAAATGTTAATGTGCTTTTTTATGGGCAATTTAATAAACTATATTTTTTATCTGAGCTATTTTTCCGTGTCAATAATTGTTGCCGATATATAGGCAAGAAACTGAACAAGTGCTCCTTTTTTCCAAGATGGTGCCTCGAGCGCAACAGATTTTGACGGGGACTTTTAGTATGTCCAATGGGGAACACTAATGAACATGTTTACCAAAATTCAGATCTTTACCAATTAATGTTTTTATTTTTTCTTATTTGACTGGACTATTAATTGCTTTTGGCGTCAAGATTGTGGTAGTACAGATCAAAATTCAATCTTTTTTAATGGCTGTATTACATTTTTGAGCTCATCATGAGATAAAGTTAACGTGGAACTTTTGAGTCAGCTTATTTTGGAGTCGAGTGGGATCTACAGTTAGTACTAAGAAAGACACTAACCAGTAAAAAATTTAGGCATCGCCATTTTGAAGGTAAATCCCCGAAAACGTTTTTTAAATTCGGAAACATGTTTACAACACTACAAAAGATGTACTTAACTGGCCAGATTAGTAGCGTCGTAAATAAATCGTGGAAAACTTTAATTAACATATAAGAGTGGCGAAATTATAACTAAAACTGTAAACATTTCAACATCAAAACTTTGTTCAATCGGTCCCATTATTGGAGGCGTTATTATAATTGTAAATTTTGTGCCAAGTGGTTACTCAGGATTTCTAAGAATAATAAACAGTAACAAAGTTCATCAATCATAGTTGTACGCAGATCACAGCCTTGGAAGTAAATTTCCTCTTACAAGCAAGAATAACCACCGAAATCGAACCCGCTGTATTTCAAACTGCATTTTCCTGAAAGAAGACATCTGATAACGTCTCGATTCCACTATCCAGCTGTACTGAGATGCTAAAAACAACTTAAAATCGTAGTCAAGGTTAGTGGTATTTATTTTTGGTTAAGCCGTCAAAGTAAATATTAATATATATGTTTGGTTCAAGAATTTAGATTGTATATCATAATTGCAATAATCAATCAGCCAAATTCAAGGCTTCATTTCTTGTAGTACTTTTTCCCTTCATATAAAAAGTGGATAAAAATTGTGTGGGTGGGTATGTATTACTCAAGCTTGAAAAATTAGGTCAGTTATATTTAAAAAAATGAAGTGGTCATTTCAATTGAAATTACGTTAAAAGGGTTAGAACAAGAAATATACGTGTTGGTAAGAAAAATTTATGTACAATGGAAAATATTTGGAAATCAAATTAGTTTTAGGACTTTTGAAGTTAAATTTCAGAGAAGCAAAGGAAAATCTCTGCAGTAAGCAAAACCGCCAAAAAAGGTAATCTTTTAAAAAGATTTGAACTAGCCGACTGCAGATTTATTTAATTTTTTAGTTCAGGATTTTAAAACTTTGTTAAACGAAGAGAAGTTTCAACCTTTATTCCCACACAACCAGTCCTTCCATTGAACTTCTATGTTTGATCCCTTTTAGGCTACAACGTCCTTGTAGCAAAAGTGTACGTACAGTGGACGTCAGATGATTCATTCTTATGGAATATTTGAGGGGTGGTTCATAAAATACTCACAATTTACGTCCACTGGACGTTTGTTCTAATTACGGTGCGCAATAATCCGAACACATCTACACGCGGCTGCGCAGTGCAACAACATTGGGATTCCAGTTTTTCAATATGGCCAACTTCCGTGATTGACCTTCCGATGATAGTCTGTGATTGATGTTTCTTTTACCCTTTAAAATTGTGTTAGAACGGTAGTGATATAAGTGTATATAATATGGAGTTCTAATACCCAGGTATACGGGTGACAGTTTGAAAACTTACCACCCCCCATATCTTAGTAAATAAACGAGATATTTAAAAAAATCAAAATCCGTTTCGGTAATTCGGAGGGGGAATCAAAATGACATAGTTGGCGACGCACCCCCTCCAACCCCCTGCGCCCCAGCCACCCCAACTTTTAAATCTTAAATATATAGTGACCCCCCATGTGTGATACGTCGTTGGAAAGCTCTGAAAAAATGCTTTCCAACCATACCAAATGGCATTACATTTAGGTTAGTAATTATCGTGCAAATCAAAAAATTAACTAATATGATACATTTGAAATCTGTCGTATTTATAACGCAACCGGCGAACATAGACGAACTAAGACAGAGAATAATTCAAGAATCTCGAAATATTGCAAAATCAACATTTGAAAAGGTTTAACAAGAGTTTGAGAATAGATTATAACTGGCGATCAAAAATGAGTTGCTGTCGAGTCGGCTTTGGAAGTTCAAGTTAAATACGATTTTCCATGTTTATTTTTTGATTTGCTCGATAATTACTAACCTAAATGTAATGATATTTGGTATGGTTGGAAAGCATTTTTTCAGAGCTTTCCAATGACGTATCACACATGGGGAGTCACTATTTAAGATTTAAAAGTTGGGGTGGCTAGGGCGCAGGGGGTGTGAGGGGGTGCGTCGCCAACTATGTCATTGTGATTTCCCCTCCGAATTACCGAAACGGATTTTGATTTTTTTAAATATCTCGTTTATTTACTAAGATATGGGGGGTGGTAAGTTTTCAATTTGTCACCCTGTATATTACCTAATACCTATGCTTTAAAACGGTAAGGTGAGTTTATAAATGTCGTATTTATATTATAGGTGATGTTTGCCGAGTTTTGACCCAGTATAAAAACCTTATTCGTGTGTTAACCCGGGTCGGTGCCTAGGTATGTAAATATATATTGTACACTAGTGCTCATTAATACCATTTTTGTTTTTAGAAGTTGGGATGCAATCGTTTCCCAAGACAGTTTCCAAGAAAGCTATTTCTAAATGACTCAAAAGAGGAAAAGAAGCGAATTTTGTGTTACTTAGTTACATTATTTTCTGACCTGGTAGTTTTAACAGTTATTGAATAAATATCATTTTCAAAGTAGCTATTTTATTTTTTAATTTAGTCCAATAAAACGACTGGCAGTGAACGTCCATAGGACGTACAGTACATAAACTGTCCATATCGTTGACATTTGCAGCTATAATGGACTTCCAATGTATAAAATTGAAAAGTTGTTTAGGATTGGAATTAGTTTCTGGTTCTATTTGGAGTTTATTTAGATACATTTTGGATTACTTTCTCTACTTTGGGTTAAGAATCCGTACAATAAACGTACCATTTACATTGCTACATATCTTTTATTTTTATCACAAGTAACTTTTCAGTAAATAAATACTTTCTACAGTACGTATAAAAAAACTTATATATAATAAAATTATAGGAAATTTATTAACATACATTACAGCGCGAAGTTTGACACCAATTTCCACTTTTGGAATAGAATAGTTTTGAAAATGAAAGTGTACAGCGAAATTGGTATCACTCCTAATTACTATCTTTGGCAAATCACCTAACTAGCGATCATAAGAATTTGGGTAATCGATCAATTGTAAGTCGTCTAATTCAGAGCTGGGTGATTTGCTACAAACCATACAATATCGTATTTAGTCTTAAAGTAAACAGTACGACTTTAGAAAAGTTACACTATGAAATGATCCCATCATTTCTAATTTAATGTAAAAAAATGAGTATTATCCTGTTTCTGATTTGCTATAGGTAAGAGTAAAAAGTGGCAGTGATTTATTCCGTTCGTTTGGGAATCACTTGAGTATTCTAAGTTGAGAGTTATTCAAAGATAGTTTCACATTCTGCTATTTCCGCTCCAGTTTCCGTTACTTCGCACCTGCCTGGATAACGATAGCGACGTTCGACTTCCAAGTTCGTCCTCTTCGTAGGCCCTATTTATTTGTCCGCCATTTTCGAATACTTCTTGTAAAGGAATGCTGGCGGTGCTGTTTCGTTGATTTCTTAATATTACGTTATTGTTACCAAACTCGTTTTTGGCGCCCAATGTTTGCATGTGGGATTTTCGCCTTTCCGCCATCACCGAATTGACACGCACTTCTAAGGCTTTCATTGTTTCCTTTCTCATTGTCAATCTTCTGCTTAAAACGGGAGTACCTGCGAAAATCGATTTTAATTAATTTTCATTTATTAATGCAAACTACAATCTACGCCTTGTTCCAAACTTATGTCAAAGGAAAGCAGATTTCGAATTCGAATGTTTTTTTGTAGGCAAAATTGGTATTTACTGGATACAAGGAATTCGTGCCGATCACAAAGAAAATACAAAGTGCAAAGGATTCCTAGAGTAAATACCTTCGGCATTCTTAGCATTAAGTTTGGCAAATCTCTTCTTGAACGCCACGTCCAAAGTACCAATTTGCCTCTTCGGTTGAGCCGCCCTTTCCAAGTTGTGAATCGTCTTCCTTCTTCCAATTCGATCCGGCCCTGATCCCGAATCGTTTTCGTAGTCAGCATCGTCAATACCCTGCAATTTCTGCAGTTGTTTTACGATCTCAACGGCTTGTCGATCCAATAACGCATTTGGAGATAAGTCTTCTTTCTGCAACAGTCGTTTTAACCAGAACTTCGTTCACTTTTCGACTAGGTACCTTTTTAGTGCAGCACAAATTGAGCTCGGTTGCGGCTAATATGTGCGCTATAGTTCCGAAACGATGGAACAACATGGCAGTGAACTGAATGAACAAAATCAGCGCAAAAAAGAATACGAACACCAAACCGATAGGCTCCAGTTGTAGGTACTCCTTTGTGACATGGGCCTATAACAACACCGAGTTAGTAACTGCTCTCGAACGACTTTTCCAATAATTTAACAACTAAGATTGCACATTATGTACACTTTTTACACACAAATTTAAATGGTGCAATCGATTTTGAAATAAAACAATTTGGTTTAGTTGAATTGTTTACAAACACCAGATTTGGATTTTGGAATGCTTGCATTGTTCAATTATTAACGAAGAAATAAAATTAGTCGATCATTATTGACATATAAAGAGAAAATTTTAAGAAGATATATTTGTTTTAGATTCGTTTAGTGTATTACTTGAAGTACAAAAGAATCAAGTTGATAAATAGATCTCAGAATGGAATGAAGTGCACTGAAAATGTGTTGTATGCTCCTGGATCTTTCCTAATTCAGTTTATTGTGCCACCCATCAAGTTTTTAATCCTCATCTTTGTGATTTGTTTTTAATTTTCCACGAAATTTCTTTTACGATGAAATAATGAACAATGCTTGAAATGGAATGGTATTGCCCAACATTTTTTGTTTGTAAATTTCTTTAACTAATGAAATATTTTATCTTTTAAACAGCAAATTCCCTAATACTAAAAAAAAGTATAGGGGTCATTTGTACAATATTGCTACTTTTTAAGAAAAATGTTGATGTACGAATTTTACTTCACAAAAAATCTTGGTTGAGAGGCATGAATAAGTTATATCTGGATGAAATGGGAATGGATAAATGATTTATATCCAATTATTATTATAAACCACAATTTTTCTGTTGGACTGTTTACTTTCACAGCTCAGTAGCTTTTATGGTAGTTTCTGTGCATAGACTCCATTGTCATGAACCTCAACAAGCTTTTGGTTGTCGAGCAAGTTTATTGGAGGGTGTAATATGATATACTTAGAGAACAAAAACGGTCCATAAAATGACATAATGAGATGTTAAAGCATAATCATGTCCAAATAGTGTTAATTACAGGCACAATTTTTAAGCGTCCGATAACAATAAACTTCGTTATTTACACGATGAACCATGTCAATAAAACCACCAGTGGACAATTATTAGTGATTTTTAAGTGTAAAGTGTACAGTTACTGTTGTAAGTCACAAACAGTAAATGGTGAAAACCGAAACAGTGCCGTTTCAAGAAGTCCCAGGCCAAGGAGATACATTAGTATCCCATTCCAGAGTAGAACCGTTTTAATAGATATCTGTAAATACCTCGGATGTTTCTTCAATGTAAGTAATATTGATTCGTACTCCAAGCGGCCACTTAACATGAATTTGGTCCTTATTAAGTTGTAATAAGAAAACGACCAATACAAAAAGCGCGTTAAACATGAAGAATGCAAATACCGATTTATTACGAAGCTCTATAAGCTCCTTTGCTATTCTGGCCTGTAAGAAAATATTTCTATTTAGATTATGTCTAGTGGGGGCACATGACCTTTCGCTCTCTGATCTATAGGATGGTGAAACTATCGAGAAAAAAATCATGTAAACCCCGATAAAATTACCTCTTGGGAAACTTCGTCATAAGTAATGTTGGTTTTAACACCAAAGGGCCATTTGATATGTAGGTAGTCTTTCTTCAAAGTGAGCAAAAATACAATGAGCACAAAAAGGGCGTTCATCATGAAAAATGCAAAAACAGAGCGGTCGCGCAATTCCTTTAAGTCTGATGCTATCCTGGCCTAAAAGTTGCATGTTTTTGTTTTAAGTTTGTCTAGAGGTACTCAAAAATAATTTAGTAGGTGAGAAAATTACCTTTTCTTCCTTATTCTCGTCGATTGGATAAAGGTACTTATCTAGCAAGTCTTTCCAGAACATGACTTCGGAGGAGCTGAGGTACTCTACCTCCCCTTTACGCAACTCGGGATCTTCTATCCAATAGGGGTTAACAAGGTCGTCTCGATCGTTTCTTGGTACTGTCGAAACAGTTTCTGAATCACTGTCATGTATCGACTCTTCGTTGGCATCTTCAGCCACTGCACCTAGGTGATGATCTCCTCTTGAGGACGCCGACATGCTACGTCTACGATGCGCGTGAGTGTGACCGTGCGGGTCCACAATTCTAAAATTCTATATTTAGCTTTATTCTCACACGTTAAACTTAACTTTTCTATGCTCTCCAGTCGTTTATTAACCTTCTCCAGAACATCGGTAATCTGGATCAGTTGCGCTTTCTCATTTTGGTCAGATTGGTGCGTGCATAACATAATTTTCATCAGGCCGGCTAACGAAATTTCAATGCTACCCGCATCGTCTTCGCTAGTACCGCCACCTTGCAAGAAACCCAATAAAGTCTTTTGCTTTGCTTCTCGTTTCGCGTCCTCGGCGGCTTTCTTTTCTTCTTCCAATTCCTGAATTTGCAACATTCGTATTACAAAACTTCTAAATATTTGGTTTAATTTTTACCTTTTTCGTTTTCTTCGTAGCAACCTCACGAGTACCCCAAGTTACGACATTAAGATTAATTATCGAATATAAAATTAGAAGTAAGTACATAGACGGAATGGAAAGTAGGTAAATAATTCCATGGACGATGCACCAAAATTCTTGCGGATGAAGACAAGCCGCTATAAAGAACGACGCCGTCATCGCGATTAAGAAAATCGCCGAGGGCGATCCGACGCCGTCCTCGCGTAGCTGGAGCGCCGTTCCGACGATCACCGCCATCATTATCAGAGCGTAGGCTGTTGAGAATATTTGCGCAACTAACAACTAGAAGAACATCCTTCAGTTGACGCTGTGGAAATCGGTTTGACTTACCTGTATGTTCGATTTGCACGTGAAACACACCAGCATGAAGAAGAGGATAGGAATGATATTGTAGTAGAAACTAGTCCAATTGTCAATTTGGAAAGCAGCCACGAACGCCCCCACCAACATAAGGAATATTGTTCCAGGTCCAAGAATTGTACCCCCCATCAGCAAAATCTAAATTTTCATTGAGCTTGGTTGGTATAGATCATGATCTTACCTGGTAAGCAATGTAGGGCATCGAAATATTGTCGTTGACTTTAATTGTTTTCTTGGCGTCTTGGAGCAAATCCATGATGTTGGCAATGGTCGACGGTACCCATCGGCGACGCTGATTGTAAAACTCGTTAAATCCCTCGGGCGCGTGGGTGTAGGCATCAGACGCAGCTGAATACTCGACACGATAACCTCGTTGCAACAGTAAAGTGCAGAGCCACCGATCCTCGCCTTGATCGTACTGCACGTAATGACGCGCCTCCGCCGAGCTGCAACAAGGCGAATTAACGTGGTCATTTTCAAAGCGAGTCTTACCATGTCGTGTATTTCTTCATGACGTTGTCGTCCATGAGAGCCTTTCCGCGGAACAGTGAGAAGCACCCAGGACTACACAGTACGCAACCTATCATGTGCTCGGTGGCTTTCTGAAGCCAATGTCCGATGGCGTACTCAAACTCCTGGTACCAAACCATAGGGCCCGACCCAACCGGGTGAATACGACCACAAGCCGCCCCTAAAAGACCAACCTCAATTTACAAATCTACAAAAGAACCTGTTATATCAAAACATCATCTGTGTATTATGTCAGAAATAACAAAAAATTGATCACCTTGAGTTCCGCTACGCTATTAGGTTCGCTTACCTAAGTTTTTGTTTTTCTTCATTAAATCGATTAGAAGATTCACGGCGTGTGGTTGAAAATCAATATCCCCGTCCAACGTTAGCAAATAAGTATTTTCGGCAATTACGGCTTTTCGATCAACGGAGATGGGCAACTCCATCAACCGGTGCCCTAGTAAGTAGTACATGTACATCACCTGCGACCATCGCTTTCTGTGCCTGATCTTCATTTTGTCTTTTAGATGGGCGATCATCTTCGTCTTTCCAGGTAGCGTCCAGATTAACCTTCCCCCGTAGGGCGTTGGTAATTTTTTAGGCGGTCTTACTCGCATGTGCGTCTGATGTATGTCCGAAGCCGCCTCGTCGATTGTACCGACGAGTAGTTTCACGAATCTGTTCACCTGGGTATCGTTGTCGTCGTGGTCGGAGATTTCGAAAGCGTCATCGAAGAATATGTGCGCTGAAAACCAAGAGTTAGTCGTATTGGCATCGGGCAAGTGACCTACTTTCAAATTCGTAATAGTCAGGATCGACGATCCGTAGATATTTTTGAGCGACGCGTCTTGCTGATTGATCTTCGTCCAGTCGTAAGATTGACTTCAAGAATTCCATCATTTCCTCTTTGTTTTCGTGCCACATGGTGGCGCACGCGTAAATTCTGGTGATGTGATCGGAGTTCTTTATCGTCTTTGGCGTGGATCCGTCTGTGTGATTCGAAATCGTTTCGTAATACTCGTCGCCTTTCTCTTTTTGAATCTCGTCGAGTTCTTCCGTTTTTACATTCGCTTGATCGTCACGTTGTCTGTTCAGCGCCATGCTCTGGTCGATTAGTAAACCGTCGTACATCGGAAGCACGAACAGCTTCTCGGTTCTTGCCAAACGTTCGCATTTTGGTGTCCAGATATGTAGTGTAATCCAAGTTTGGGAGAGGAGCCAAAGCAGCCAAACCCACGCGTGTTGTTGCGCGATGAAATCGTTGAGAAAATATGCGGGTGGTGTTGAAAAGAATAGATACGAGGGAATTGTATCTGTAAAGAAGCAAGGGTCTCCCTCCCTGAGTCCACAGGCTGCTATTAACAGCGATATGCACACGGGAATTGTAAGATTGATGGGGAACGCGTACGAAAACCCTTGTATCATAATTTTGCAAGCAAATTTTCCGAAAATGTAACAAAAGTACGATGAGACTATGCTGATGAGTAACACGTAGATCGCGGTAGCACTATCGGAAGATATCACAGTGTCGTCTCCTGTTGGTATTATATCGGCCACGTCAGCCAATGATGTACCCCCAACAGTTTGTTTAATCTAAAACACGTGTGAATAATTAATCATTTATCTTCGGCGTTACCTCTAATATTGTGATGGGATGTGAGCTGAACCCAGATGAAAAATCGGTGAAAAAGAATCCCACTTCTCCTTCCTTGATAAGGGTAATAATTATTACGGAAAGGAAGAAACACAGACACTTCCATATCGATATAAATATGTGAGTGAAGTAGCGGGTGGCCGACATTTGCTGCTTAATTTTTCCCAGTTTTTTTATGAAAGGAATAGGCGAGTTTGCGCAGATGTAGTTTTCCCACCAACCGAGCGACACCAACAGTATGGTAAGAGGCGTGAGCCATAGATTCGGCTTTTTTTCCACGATAAGCCAAATTACAAATCCAGTAGCTTGAGCGGCGATCGCTAAGAGATCGATGATAACTTTCAAGAAGCATTTCGACTCCTTGCTGTTTCTAGAGAGGAGTCCTAAAATTTCACAATCTTACCGTATGAATGCAAAGTCTAGACCACTTACCTAACACTCCCGGCACAAAGCACAGGCAATTCGTAAGCATCGCCCCTTTTATAACATCTAAATCTGGCAGTATGATAAAGACTAGCAAAGCAATACCGATCGTATGAGCAGTCTCAGCTAGAAACACTATTAAAAAGTGCGCGAAGTGTGGCTTTCTCCACGACTTGAAGAAGCACATCCTCACCGAGCGGAAGAGTGCCCCCATTTCGGGTACCCAAAAAGCGAACAGTAAACACCACATCCACGCAACCCGTTCATTTCGTGGTAGTTTTACTATAAATTCTTTGTCTCTACCTGCAATAAGCGTTATTCTTACAGTGTTCGTAGAAAAAGGAACACGTACCTAATTCCCTATTACAATACGGCATTATTCTATCATCTTTTAATTGTGAAGTCATGAAAAGTAACGTTCCTTTCGATATCACACCTGATGCTAATACTATTGCAAAAGTTACTAAATACGCTACTACTTTGAGTATTTTTACAGTAATGTCTAGACACTTTTGATTTGCCATAGATCCAGAATCCACCTTTGCCGGTGGATCTCGAAAGACGTCCCATCCTTTCGTTTCTTGTACGGTTCGTGTGCTGAAATAAAAATAATCGATTAGATAAGGAGCAGATGACCATGTAATTTTTGGGCATAATAAATTTGTATACGGTACTGGTATCTTTAAGTGGACGTGAACTGATGAGGCTGGATTTTGGTTTGGGTGGTTCAGGTGCAATAAACCATCAGACAATGGAGTGGAGATAATCTTCGCGTATATTGCACTGCGAAGGGCGACCTATGCGATGTTTCAAGGTCGTTCGTATTTAAATGTATCTTAGGTCAGTGGACTCAATCCGGATTTTGATGTAACTTTATACGCCCACTTGTCACACAAAGGACGAAGACGCTCGCGAACCTATTTATAAACTTTTCGTAGATTTTAGTATTCACTTTTCATAACGGATTTTTATTAGTAAGTTGTAAAGTCATCGTGGTTAAAAAAAGGCGAGGATGATCAAATAACTCATGCAAAAAACGATTGTGTATTCTATCCCTTCAGTTAAATGGTATGCATTTAAATGTGTTTACAAACACAGCTTTGGTTCTTGATAAAATTTCTGGTAGGATTCAGTGATGGAAAAGAAATTTCAATTCGAACTCGATAAGACATTTTAAAAAAATCAATGCTGTTTCGCCGTGTATGTAATTTGGAGTGCATTTGTTGTTTTAAAATGAAATAGTCATTTGAAGACCTTAAGAATCCATAATTTAGAAATGTTTCTAAATTATTTGGTCTTAGTAAATCATTGTTTAATAATTATCCTCAAATGGGAACCTCGGTTTATTGTTAGTAACCGCTCAATAAGTTATCCGGGAATTTTAGAAAACGGCATACACGGTTCCTTTTTTTGTGCTATTAACGCATTTAGAAACTGATCTTCCGCGCTAAAAATCATTATTGCAAAATCCACGGGTGTAACAAAACAGTAAAAATACATAGGACATAAGAAATATTGTCAAGTTAATCAGTTGATGGAATACTTTTATCTGTTCGGAAAAATGCACATTAACCAAACTGCCGTTGTGCTTACTTTAGAATGTGAAATTATTTGGGGAAATGTTAAATATGCGAGGAAATGAAGTGCATTGAGATAAGCAATGAGTGTAAAACCAGATAAAAGTCGAAATGCCACAGTGTTTCCATGTATAAAGTTCTCGTTGGGTCCGTTTCGGTTTTTTAATTCGTCGAGTGCATAAGTAAAAATTAGGTGGGAGAGGAGGATTCTTCGCAAAAGCTTTAGAAGCGAAGCTATGTGAATTGATAGCGGAATTTTGAAATGACGTAATGATTGATTTGCGATTAAAGGTTCGAGACCAAGCCGTTAAGAAAGAAACATCAACCGCGTGACATTAACAGTTAATTACCGAATTATGAGGGAAAACTGTCGCCATTTTAGGGTCGTGGGTGCTTTACAATTTATTGTGAATTCTCAATACAAGCAAAACCTATAATCAGTGGCGTATTTATGCGAGAGAACTTTGTTGCGTTTCTTAATGCGTAAGCGAATATTTTCGTTTCGTTCCATTATTGGAGCTGCCTGATCGCGTTTATATGAATTGTTACAATGAAAGCGTCATAGTCAAAGTACAGCACGTTTCAGTGCGCTATATAGTGGCTAGTTGCTATAAAAACAAGCTTATTAACCAAAATTGTGTACCTCTCTTGTGCATACGAGGGTTCTAAATAAAGCTGTAACTGGTAAAAAGTTAGAGACAATTAATTCGTGCCTTGGCGGGCAGAACATTGGTAGATTATTCTAGTAAATAAACAAAAACTCTTAAATTTTGAAAAACCTGAAGCCCAGTTTGTTCCTGATTTGGAGTAGTCGGTCGTCTTAATATTCACTTTCAACGAGCAGTTAAATCTACCAGGCGATACAATAGATCCAATTGTATTGCACAAGACGTTTTACCACCCAATTTTCTGAATTTCAAAAGCAGAGAACTGTCAATAGGAGAATATTTCAATAAATGTAATGTAATTTTGCAGTGTATAATATTCCTGAAGAGGTTGACCCACGGGAGTATATTCCGTGAGCAGATTTGTATTTTTTATGATGTAGTTCAATGATACCATTCTTTTGTGTGAATTAAAATTTATTTAGCATCCAATACAAATAAGTTAAGGCATTAGTATCCTTATAAACAAGAAACTTAGCATTGCGCAGTCTGCGCATGCGTACACTTGATGTTTAAAATATGCGATATGTTTGCCTTTACTAGAAGAATGTTGTGTTCAAATTTCAAACAATATCTATAAATAAGAAAGTTGACATTGCATAGTCTGTCCTATACCGCCACAAGTCAAGTTAAATAATTTATAATTGGGGTGGCCCAAAGTGGTAAGAAAACATTCCAAAGATGAATAGAAGGGTCGACTAATCAACATGTTTTTACTTTAATGACTAAACACGTTGACGCTCAAAATCTCGAAAGAAATCGTCGCACCAAAATCGCGTTGTTCCAAAGTAACCCCGGTGCGTTGAAACGCCGGGTGTTGAACCGGTGATGCAAAAATAGCGAGCCCGAAACAACCCTTTCTGTTTCTACATGAACCCATCGCAAGAACCAGATGGACGAACGGAATTCACGCTGCCTGTTTCTTTTAGTACGACTCTCACAAAAAAACGCGGAAGCAACTTTGTGCACACATTATCTGCCCATTTCTCAAACTACTTTTTACTGACAACGGCATTTGTCTCCATTCAACATTCAATAAGAGAAACTTTTTGCGACAAAATATATCAAGCAGGTAAAATGAGCCATGTTTTTCAATGATGTTAATAAAGACAGTTTTTACGTATCAATTTGTTTAAGAAAATGCTTAGAGGTAAACCAACAACGCACAAAAGAAACTTAACAACAAACTAATTGGGACCCAGTTTTTATGTGAACAAACTAATTAAAAATAGGCTAAATCACAATAAATCTGAATAATTCGTCACATATTAATATTAGTACTTATTGGTATCATCATCTTGAACACGAGCAAAAAAAAACCACTACTAATGCCGCGAAAGGATTTGACTGTAATATTTTAACATTGAAATAGCATTATTATGTAAATAGTATCATTAACAATGTCTAAACAAAAATAAAGTTGGTTTCATGAATTTTTCCACAATGGTTACCCTTACTTTTACTTTTAAAGATATACTTGAATGCAATATGCAAAGAACCCCCATAGTTCTTCATCTTTTTTTATTATGAGAGTCTTTGTAGCGACTGAGAGCAATTTTGCTGGTAGTTATAGTTATAGTTTAATTTACATTATTGGTTGATTAACGCAACCGTTATTAAAATTATCATATTTTCATTTTCATAAATTGTAATTGCAGACATCATCAATGACGTAGGTTCTCAGGTAGGTTCTCCTATGTCATCTATTATGAGCACTGTTTTACTCATAGGAATGATAGGGCAACCTTACAGTAATCGGTTTCATGATTGACATGTTTCCAGAATATTTTATGTTAGTCACTGGAGACACGCAACACAAGTTTTCTGGGGGTGAATTTACTTGTTAACGGCAATGGCTCCATGGCTTCTCCATCGAGAAAGTCGTATACACCCAATTTTGGCCTTTAAAGATAAATCAAATCTAGGAAGAAAATTGGTCCAAAACGTGAATTCCGAATAAGCAGAGTATCACCAAAATAAATAAACCATACAAAAAGGAAACCGGTTAAGTAACGGTTTTGAAACAAAGAAAACAAGTATAGAAAGGCAGATTTATAGCAATCTGTTTGAAATGTCTCGTAAATGCACAAAAATGTTAAATTGATTATTTATTATAATATTATTTCGCATAATTTTGCAAGCATTGGTATCCTTATACGCGTCCGTTGCCATAATAAAAGATGAGCTGCCAAATATATATTTTATTGCGAAAATATCCCAAACGATTTCGTATTTTCTTGAAGATGAGACATTCTGATTCCTTAGAAATTAGACAATCATCGTTAAAAATCTCCCTTTTGGTTTGAGAAGACAAACATATTCTTAGGAAATTTTTTAACCGTAACCCCAAAATGACCCATTAATTGTGTGCGGTTCAGCTACTAAAACTAGGCCACTCCACCAGTCCAGAGAAACTTTTTAATGGAAAACCAAACAATAATTTTGGTACGGTACCATCAGGCTATCTACTTTAGTATAGGTATCAATAAGAAGCATCTAAACAGCTACATTCTCTACTTTCCAAAAACAATGGCAGTATTACCTTTGAATCTAATTTTATATTAAAAGGTCATTTTTTGAGCAATTCTAAAAAATTTCAGCTAAAATTTGTTTACATAAAAAGTTTCGATAGATATTGGATTGGACTGTATTGAGTCATAGAGGTTCAAGGTTATAAGAACTACCGAAGGTTCTCAGCTGGATATAACATTTTCTTGGAATAATTCCACTCTCTGACGCTCCATTAAATGGTGAACAGTGGTGAACGTTGATACTCTTGCCTCTTGCTCCCCATAATGCAGCTCATAACATTTTTAATGATCTTCCATGAATGATACATCATTGGAAAGCTCTGTTTTACTCCCGGCATTATAGGATCATATTCTTAAAAATAGGTAATAAGTAAAAAATTATTAACAAGGCAATGAATTCTTTTTGGGAGACAAAAAATTGATAGTGAAATAGAGGCCCTCGTCACAAAAATATACAATTGGCCCGTTGAGTTGCGACGTTGCTTTGGTTCGGTTTCGTTTTTTTTACTGGGCGCTACATATAGAGAATTATAGAGAGAAAAGAGGGAGTTTTACCTTAACTTCGATCGCAATAGCGTGCGAGTTCCCTATTCAATTTTACGATCGCGCGTTTTTAAAAGAGATCGCCACATACAACGAGCAATGGAGGATATAAATGGGCCGTGCAAATTTTTATGAGTCGCGGATCAATTATAAAGCGTCTGTGGGTCTAGTTAAACTCTTGTATAAAATACATAACTCAGTTCTTGTGTTATTAAAATTCCGAAAAAGACAATTCTAAAGTCCATTTTACACATTTTACACAAATACATAGCGAGACAATTCATGAGTGCAGTGTAAAATTGCGTTGCTTTCTTAATATATTAATACAATTCTGCCAGCCAAACTGCATTTGAATACGGTCGGGATAAGTAAATAGTCATCCACAAATTTCCATACTATGTGAGGCAATTTTGTATCAGAGCGTGCCTCAAAGGTCTAACTGTATCACCACAAAAGCGATCCAGTTTTCAATGTTTCTTTAAGGGGGCCTTTTCAAGGTACCATTAATTGTAACCTAAAAAACACCGATTCCAGCGAAATCTGTAAAATCAATATTTTACATAAGAAAAAATTTAATGGAGAATGGAATTGGATCGATTTTACTTTTGGTCCAGTCAATGAACTTGTTCAAAGTGCTTAGGTAGTGAACATAGGTCCTGCTGCCTAGGTGGCGAGGGGCGGGGGGGGGGGAGGTCCATCTTTGAGTTATCCGCTTGTATATTGAAAACGGTTCATTATAGGGGAAACTATTCTTATATTAAATGAAAGTTTATTAAATTATATACAATTTATTTATTTTGGGATTCATATTTACTCGTATTCGGTGTGCAGACAAACAAAGAGATAAAAGGCCAACATTTTGAAAAGTAAGAGATTAGAAAGCTAGCCGTGGGTAAAATAAATTTTAATAGAACATTTTTTTATCAGTGCCGTAGAGGATACTTTTTATTTTGTACGTAACAGTTACAAACAATGAGTATGGAAGAAAGAATTGCAGAATTTTCACATGATCAATGCGATAAAATCAAGCACTGTAGAGGTTTTTAATGAACTTCATTCACAAAAAATATTGGCCACAAAAGAAGGTACATACAAGAGGGCAAAAACACAAGTACTGGACGGAGTTGCAATTAACTAGCAAGTCTGCAACAACCCACAATAAATTATCATTGTTGCAATGGAAATTCTTGGTTCTCTTGAGTCGATGTGTATCTCCTCGTAAAACTTTGCGAGATCTTGGCGATGATGTCCCTTATAGAAGGAATAGAACTTTGTGAAATGATTTAATATCGAATTTTAATCAATTGGTGATGAATGTATAGGGCACAGTCAATGGCCCGTATGAATAAAAGTAAGCAAATGCTTATACTTGCAAAATTCAAAGCAAATACTCGTAAGTGCTCCTTCTCACTGGGCGACTTAGCAGCGCTTCTAAGCAGAAGGACAGGACGCAGTACAGTGCTGCTAAACCATGCTAAACAGACCAGTATGAAGGGGCAGTTACGAGTATTTACTTTGAATTTTGCAAGTATAAGCATTTGCTTACTTTTATTCATACGGGCCAAAGTTTTGAAAAACAAAATTCTTAGACAGAGATTTATGAAAATGTTAAATATTGCTGTGTAAACAATGTTAGTCTGGGACATTTTGTTTGGATGAAGGCGTTTGGAATGAATTAGGGTGTTTTTGATAAACTTATTAATAACGCATCATCTTCTTCTTCTAGTAAGATATTTGCTAGTACACACGTAGCACTGTCATAAACTGCCGTTATCAGTAAAAAATAAACTTGTAACAAATATAGGAAACGAGCTCCTGGGTCACTGAAAATGTTATCAGTTCTTCCATAATACCGAACAGAATTGAAAAATTCGAAACCGTTCGCGAGAATCCATGTAAACAGATGGGCGGACGGACGAACGTAAATCGAAAATCATGAACTCGCTTTTAGAAGCTCATTAGCACGTTAATTTCGTTACCACAGCGTCTAATCGACACTAGATGGCCCACACTATAGCGACCAATCACACGCGTCGTCCAATCAATTTGACAATCGCTATTGATTACCTTTAGTGCTTGTCAAAATTCTATTGAAAACCTCAATGTATAGGTCTCCTTTTGAAGTGAGAAAATCTCGAGTCCTCGAAGATGGAGACAACCTTTGCATTAGAATGCGAAGGGCGTACTTTCAGATAAGTACTAGTTGGATTTTGACTTCAAACCCTATTTGAAGCTAGGTTTATGGGGTTGTATATCGGGGTAAAAAATTGCTGATATACGACTTTGAGGTTTCTTTGATAAGTGGAGCGTAAGTGGTAATTGATTATATAGTTCGCAGTATATAATCAATGCTTTAGTGCAAAAAACTGTTTCCCATTACTCTCCCGATTCATCCTTGTAAGGATTATCGCGACACTTTTTCATTAAATATACGAAAGTAGTCGTTACAAAACGTGCAACCGTAATAAAAATGTCAAGGCTGGCAAACCTCACTGCTGCTATAAGGATGCACGGATTAAAGACAATAAATGTCAAGCGGGTATGTGCATGCTAAACCAGAGACGTTTTTCAAAGTCTCTCCTTTGTTTTAACTTGTATATGCATATCTGGACATGAAAGTAATCCCCGTTATGCCAAGTCTCGTTTTTACTTTTTGCGCCTGAAAATGGCATTGACATTTTTGTGCTATCTAATTTTAGTTGTAGGTGAATAACGGGGAAATGGTTTCAATCGAAACCCGGAATGAATATTCGAGCATCCACTTATTTATTTACATAATAACCATTTTTTTACTTTATTAAATCATCCTAGTAAAAGTGGTTGACCATTAACTGATAACAAAAGCACTCTTGGAATGTTACTTTTTTTTACCGCGATCCAAGTCATCTGACATGGTCTCGTAAAAACCAAGTTACCACGTATGATGATCTGCTAGTCATCCAGTCAAATTGTATTTCGGTGGTCTCCATTTGTACGGTTTAGTAGATTTTCTCGAGTAGAATTTGGTTCGCAGTCGTTTACCTATTATTGAATTTTAATATATGCAAATGTTACCCATTTACGTATTAAGTTCCATTAGAAATATAATTAGAGCATTAACTAAAGGTCAAAATTTGAAAATAAAATCAGAAGATAATCTTTTGGAATAGTTACCAGGTCGCGTTGTTCGTTGCTCAATTTATAAATGTCACTACTCACCGAAGATGAGCTAAACCATAAATTTCCGCATCTACGTTTTAACATTTTAAAAGACAAACAAGAGATGATTTAATTACTGAAATTACAGGAATTGATTAATGTCTAGAAAACTGTCTTGAAACGATTGCATACAGAAGCTCAGAAATTAATTTAGGTTTTGGGATGAAACGAGAGATTAGAACGTACCTTCCTCCATAAATGTCTTGAGTTAAAGGAACGCTTTCGTCGTCTGAAAAATTGTCGTCGCTATCACTATTTCGAATTCCAGGTGTAGTGGCCATTGCTCTGAAAGACAAGAAAAATGCTTTTACTTTTCATTTCAATACATTTTAACAGACTGTAAACTTTCTCCTGTGATTCTCCTCAATTCAGAATATAAAAGTGGACGAATTTGTAATTTAAAAAATGGTGTGTTCCACCTGCACGCGGAGTTTGTAATTAAAATCAAATTCCTTGCAATTGGTGTGTCAGATTCGAAATTGAATTGTCAATCATGGCGAATATATCTGTTAGTGGAAGTGTTGCCAAGAGCAAGAATGGACACAACTCTAATGAAAGATTTTTTAATGATGGCCATAAGTGCACACTAATTGTAAGTTCTTGACCTTATTCTTTCTTGAACGATGCATTATTTGTTTGCATCTCGATTTCACCCACCCATTGATTGCATGCAGACGAAAGTGAGAATAATTTACTTTTCCTTGCATCCTTAAACCACGTCTAGTGGACAATTCTTTTACGGATTAGGGGACATCATACAGGTTTCCAGTTCTGTGTTCTAAAACATTTTTTGTTCGATGTCTTTCATAAGAAATCTGTGCTGGTATTTAACAGCACTAATTTTTGGTTCGCCACAAGTGAGAAATAATGCCGCAGCCTTTGCAGGTTTCGTTAACCGCCAACTTTTTCATTTGCTACTAAAAAATTTGATGTCACAATTTCAATGGAAAGTTATGATTACATTAAAGTAATTTCTTATTGCGCGTTTAAAAAAAAACTTAAATATCGCAGTTTATCCTGTGAAAAAAATCACAGTTTGATGCTGTGACACAATAGAGTGTTATTCGTGGGTTAATTCACGTACATTTTAAAGGAATTAACTGACAGGAATTTTAAAGAATTATTAGGAAAGAAAGGGATTATTTGAAAATCATGTTGTTATTGTTACTTTTCACACTTTTATACGCGCCTTCTACAATTTACTGTTTTGGGACGTGCATAAGACGAAAAGAACTATTTATTTCGGTATGGAAAATTTAAAGATTCTCAGGGTTCCCTTTCTATAACCAAATCCTTCGAAAATTTACTAAAAAAAACTCTTAATCAAAAAATGTACTCCGAGAAGATTGGCCTCAGAATCCTTTATAAAATTACCGATTACTAGATTTGCTGACCTTACTTTCTATCGGAATCCATTCTGTAGTACATTGCGGATGTTTGGGGCGGTGAAAGTATCCCAGATCCCTGGATGTAAATATGATGTATACTTGTTAATAATAATGGCTAGAAAAGAAGCTAGTAGGTACTCAATTTTATACAAATTTATTTATACAACCGAAATTGTAGTTCATGAAGAAGTTGCAGTCACCGAATGTGGATAATAAGAATAAAAAGTTCTAAGTACAATTTTTGTACTGTCAAATTTCAATGTAAGAAGTTACATAGAAATGTAGTGAGAAAATTAATTAGATTTCTAAGGTTTTCAGCACAGCAGGAAGTATAGCTTTGCACACTTATAATAAATAAAATGATGTTGATTTTAAATAACCAACAAAAGGCAAAGAAGCGTTATTTATTTCTTCTGAAAATGGTTGAGTTCGATTACTTATAGTTCCGGATAGCCACACGAGTGCTCTGTAGTAAACTTTAAAACAAAAACATAAGAGGTTTTTTTATATTCCAAGTGCCAAAAGAAGATTTGGGACCGTTTCTTGTTACATTTTTTAAATTCTAGTTAGAATTACTGATACCTTCTCAAGAGATCTGAAATAGAATCGAAAAAAAAGAGTGACACAAAGAGGAAAAAGTTTATGAAATCAACTATCTGTAATTAAAAGCAATACAATTCAAATCTTCATGAATCTAATAAAATGGAAGCAATATGTACTAATGCTAAAGTAATTTAAGGAGACTTTACGTGTTACCATGATGATATACAGGCTGTTTCACACAAACTGTTATCTAAAAGTATTGAGGCTGCCGTTGATAATTTAAGTCTAAAAATTTCCATACTAACATAGTTGTGCTTGTGCATGATCTATAGAAAGAAAATATTATCATGATCGTTTCATTTCCGGGTTTACCGGATGTGCTCTTTCTTATTTTAAATAGAACACCCTGTATCTTGTCGGATTTTTGAAATGTACATGAAAATTTACGTGATTTAATACCACACTTACCTACATCCAGCATGCAAGATCTCTCAAAATTTTTACCTTTCGAAAGTGTACAAAAATTAAGCATGTTTTATTCGAAAAAATCAACTTTTAAGGTTTGAAGTTATTAAAAATGACCAAAGGGGCGATCAAAATTTAACTCATTTTCATGTAGCGTCAAGTCACTATTGTTGGTTTTGGAAGACTTAGGTACTTTGATTGTTTTGTCCATCCACCTGTCTGTCCCTCGAGAACGAAAAGAGACAACAATCTCAAACTTTTGCCAATGGATTTCTACTAGTTCAAGGAGCATGAGGAATATGAGCCGGACTAAGAATCGTGTTTTCGAATGCGAGTAGTGTCAAAAATTCTCTACTGAAAATCGTATGCGTTTTTTTGTATCTTGTTGAAATCTAACTTACAGTTAAACGTCAAGAATTTTCAAAAATCTTGAATAGCTTTGTTGATAGGTATATAGTCGTCTTGCAAGTGTACATCCGAGGGATTTTAGATGATACACGCATGGGAGTCGTCTCATTCTCTTCGTTATAACATGGAGAATCAGTAGTTGGATGGTGAACAGTAGCCAGACTACAGATTAATTTTATACTTAAAAAACAAAATGTCTGCCGCTGTGTTGTACATCATGTTAATTTCGTAAAATACAACGTGATCTGTTACAAGAAGTATTCAGTATTAAATTCTACGGACATATGTGACGAGAGCGGAAAAACAGGTATAGAAGTGATTAACAGAGGTATTATGGCCATAAGCGGGGGTGCAGACGATCATTATATGACGAGAATAGACGAACTCGGAACAAATATACGCCAGCATGAGTGGGGACAATCAATAGCGGCACCCGGTGATTTTAATGCCGCTTCTACTGCGAGGGGCGCAGCCAAAACCTACAAGAGGGGCTACTAGATAGTAGTGATCAGCCTTACATAACTTGGGCATAGCGAAAAGGAGAAAACACCTACATTTTCTAGATTACCCTTCGTGGAACTCCTCAACCGAATGGGCAGGAGAGCCTGAACAACCATCGTTATGTGTATTGGCGGCTCACTAACGAAGGTGGAAAACACCCACGAACAGAGAACTAGGCTGGAATACTAACAAACTAGAAAAGGGAAACAGAAAACATCCAAAAGGGGAATATGCAATACATGCCCGTGAGGAAGTATAGAGTCAGAGGGGCGTACTAGTGGAATACCAAAATAGAAGAGCTCCGCAGAACGTATGTCGCAGAGGGGCATGGTTACTAGAGTGAGGAAGGTCAGAAGGCCTCTTGAAGATGCAATTGCTAATCTCAAGGAATCTAGACAACGTACCAAAAAGGCAATCAACGACAGCAAAAAGAAGTTCTGGCAAAGGCTGTGCGATAAGCTTGCAAAGGACGTTTGGGGTAGAGGATAGTGACGTGTAAATTCAATAAGAAAGGGTCGAATGATGCGGCTCTTCCACAAACTATTGACCAGCTCTTCCCCAAGCCCCAGAACCACTTGAGGGGGAAGAAAATGAATTTTAGGAAGTTACACATTGCGAGCTGCTAACCGCGGCACGGGAACTCCCGAGTAACAAGACGTCAGGGCCAGATAGTCCCGTCTATACAGTCATTAAATACGTAGCTATAAAAAAACAGAGATCTGGGTAAACCTGGTTAATGGATAATTGAAGCAAGGGCAGTACCCGGGAGTGTGGAAGCAGTGTAGGCTGGTAGTGATCACTAAGACCAAGGATATAGATATAGAAGCCGATAAGTCTTCTTGATTTCTCTCTGGAAAAAGCGAACGGAGGAACGCACAGAACAATGAGGATGTGTCTAATGGCATCACTCGATGTCAGGAATGCCTTCAATACCGTAGCGCACCGGGACATCATAACATTGATGGAAGCGATTGAGGTACGAACATTGCAAGGACGAATGGCGAAAGTACCCAAACCGGAGAGAGGAATCCACAAATTCAGACCAGACGCAAGGGTCCCACAGGGGGAGGGGGGGGGGGGTTCTCGACCCAACCTTATGGACAATCACATATAATGAGACAAAACGAACACAAGGAAATAGAGTTAACGATTGGAAACTTTTTTTGTTAGCATTAAGTAGTACGTTTAAATTAAAGATACGTTTCTACGACAATATGGACGCACAAAACAGCATAATAGAAGCACACTTCATTAAAAAAATTGAATTTGATGGAATATATACGGAAAAGGCAGTTGTCATCCGAACTATGTCATAAGTGAAGCATTAAATGAGCACATATTAATAGGGATTTTTTTGTTCCTAGTTTTGGTGAAACCAAGTTAATGAAAATACCAACAACGGCACTTTTAAATTTTTATAGTTTCTATAGTGAAACTCACTGTTCTCGCAGAGGAAAATTTAATACCTACTATTATAAGCTATAAATCGCGGGTACCATTAAATTTAGAATTTAGCTCTTGAGCATCGTGTCCGTCTGTTTTTTAATATTAAATAACGCTGATTTTGTATTTGCTCTCTAACGCTTGATTAGTGTTGACTCACTCATTACCGGAAATTTGATTTTTGTTACAAATTAGAATGGTAGCTAATAGCTGAATGCTGTTGGTGATTAGTCCAAGGCCATCAGTCCATTCGCTGAGATCTTATAAGAAATTAGTACCAAAAACCAGCTTCGGAGGAAAATTTGCTCGTAAACGCTTGTCCTCCAAACGTATACTCCCTATAAGATTCACTTCCAAGTAAAATTTGCGGCCACAGAAATGTACTCACCCTTCATTAATATTTCTTCAAAAATATCCTACAGATTAACTCAGCCCAAATGGAAATTGCCCTCAAAGTCTGTTATATGCTCAAATTTTTTTTTATATTTCGATCAATAAAAAATAAATATCAACGCAGTTCCAGTTCACAAAAACAAT